AGAGTACAGAGAAAAAGAAAGGAAGAAAGCGGGAGATATCAACTTGATGTAGTTAATTTTTGAATATAATTTTTATAAAAAAAAAAAACATAAATGGGACAACACAAAAACATGTATACAAATTTAGTTTTCATAAAATATTTTAGGTCTACTTGGGGGTTTTTTCAGGTCCTTAAACTAAATAGGTAATAGAACAATGAAACACATTTGCGATAAAAGGTAAATACATTCTTATGTATATAAAGTAAAATTATAGACACATACATATCTAACATATACAGGTGTGTATTGGCGCGGGCCGAAAACACGCTTTTTTTTAGAATTTTCATTGAGAATAGCAAAAATATGGTTCATTATGCTCTAAAAAATATCTGTGTGAAGTGGGAGAATTTTTGGTCAATATCCTAGGCTCGCCCAAGTCCATCAAAGTTCAAGTACTAAAAAATTTTTTTCTTAGCTAACTTCGATTCTCTACAAAAAAGGTCCATATACCAAATTATGTAGGACTAATACTTTAGAAGATAAGTGCAATTTTAGTCAAAAAATGTATTAATTAATTTATTTATTAATTTTTATTTTTTGAGCATATTGAACTTAGATGGACTTGGGCGAGCCTAGGATATTGATCAAAAAATTCCAAATTTTACACAGATTTTTTTTAAAGCATAATGAAATATATTTTTGCTATTACCAATCAAAATTCTAAAAAAACGGGTTTTCGGCCCACGCTAGTGTGTATACCCTGTCGTTTTTGATACAAGTTTTGAAATTTTTAACAATGATAGTTGAAAAAAAAACTTAGCACAAGCAGGTATGGTAATTTTGAAATACCCCGACGTTAACGAATTTTGCCAAAAGTCAAATTTCCTTCAATTATCACAAAATTTCCTGGTATACATATTCTCTTTAAACAAAAAAAGAACGCCAAGTCAAAAACATTTCAGCTACGATTGTCGAAAGAAGGGATGCACAATGAACGAGTACATTATACTATGTTCACATTGCAACGTAAATTTCTCAATTTAATACTCGACTACTTCACATAAATTAATTGAATTCGCGAGCGTCATTATCAATTTCCCTGCAGTGAAAAGCAAAACTATTGACCAGAATTTCGCACAGATTAAATGATTTATAAGTTTTATAAGCTAATGCGAAGATTAGGGCTCGAATCACGAATTAGAAATCGAATTAAACTCGATTCGTAATTAGTATTGGCTCCTTAGCCCGATAAAGTGCAGCAGTCCACATAGCCAAATTCGGCAACGCTAATGCCAACAGAAAGCAGAAAGATGGCCAACTGTCAACTTTTCGCGTGCGTCGCTTGTCAGTTGTTGTAAATAAATAAAATTATGTGAAATACGTATGTTTCCTTTTTAATCAAATGTGGGGGAAAAATATCGTTTTTCATGCATTTATTGATATGAAATATTAATTTATCTGTCACTAGTATGATAATTTAGTGACCAAAGCATTCGCTGCCAAGCGTTCGTTGTAGCAAGCATACTCTGTCAAACCAATGGAAACGCCAAATCCTACGCGAAAGTTCTATGTGGATGGGTATTCAATCTGAGGGTACTTTCCCTAGATTTTTATTTTTAGACTATAAAAGTAAAGCTCTCAAAACTCGATGACGACCTTGCTAAAAAGGGTTAAGCTTCATAGATTTATAATTCTGGGCGAGGCCTTTTCGGTGACATAATTATTAAAAAAATCGGATAGAAAACAAGAGTTATAGCAAAAAACGCGATTTAGCGGTTTTTAGCGGGTGCATAAAAAAATGTACACCCAAATTTTTTTCTTGACATAAGTATTCAAATAAAACTGCCACACGCTAATCTTTTTTTCGTGATACGCCTCAATGTACAGTGCCGCACAAAAGCATTGACACAGACAATTTTTCGCAATGTATGCAAAGTTTTTTGTTCTGGTTTCTTTTCGCTAATTTTTTATAAAAATATAGTTCATACTACAACAAAAAACATAAAAATAAAATGTCTAAACTTTGTGCAAAACTCAGGAAAATTCAATAAACTTTCATACTAGTTTGCAGATTTCCAAGAAGATTTTTAAGAAAAATCCTAAGTACCTACGCAGTTTTATTCATTCGCAGTAAAATTTAATAAAAAAGTGCAAGTTTGAAGTTGCTAAAAATTGGCGTTGATTTTTGGCAATTTTTTTGGTGGACGGTGTTTTTTATGTTTATAGGAAACTGTGTGAAAAAAGCCAAATAATTCAGCCTATTTTCCGTCATGGACGTCCGAAGTTGGTTTTTTATCAGCTTCAGTTTAGATGATGACCTTGCAACTTCTGCATTTGGAAAGCAATCTTTGACGTTATAATTAAACCAAAGTTTGTACAACCATTTTTCTTTGGTTACAACTTCTTGATTTTTTTCATAGTCGGGTTAAAACTGCCGGCAAATGTTTTAAATTGTCGTTTTTCATATCTCAAATAATTTTGTACTTTTTTCTAACATTTCTTTATCACCGAGCTTGTCTAATTTGTTCAGGAACTCAAAACGTTCATGGACTCCTAAGTGCGTCCATTAAGGGAATGAAACTTTGGGTTCGAAATTTAATCTTCTTTTATTTATCATTTGTAATCACAATGACTTACATAGATAAAGGCTGTCGAAGTGGGTGGGATCAATCTGATCCCTATGGTTGTAGCACGCGTACTCCGTTTACCTGCCGCCGACTCGACGAAACGACGCATTTTCCTTTGCTTACTAAACTAAAACAGCTATTTAGTTCTTAAATTACGTTGTACTAGAATGTGAATCCGCTTCGATTAGGGTAAAAAAGCAACTAAATATGCCTTTGATTGACTCGCCTTCAGTGCCTCCTGCGTTTCTTAAAATTGTAAATACATATATAAATTTTCACGTTTTATAATTTTTTCCTTTCTTAGTTTTTTATGTGGCGCGCCTATGCAGCCTGTGCTTAAATCCGACCCTGGATACATAGTAATAATAATGGTAAAAGTAACAGCTATGGTAATGGTAATGGCAATGGTTAATAGTATTGGTAATGGTAACGAAAATGGTAATTGAGTAGTAGCATTAACGGTAATGGTATTAGTAAAGGCAATGAAAAAGAAAATGGTAATTGTAATGGTAATGGTTATAGTAATGGTAATGGTATTGTTAATGGTAATTGAAGTGGTAATGGTATTGATAATGCTAATGGTAGTGTTATTGGTAATATTTAGTAATAACCGTATTTACACAGAATTTGCTTGTATGTACATATTTAGTGCAATTGTTTCAATGAATTGTTAAATAAATATATTAAACGAAAAGTGGTCTGCATGAGACGGCTTCAAGCCAGATAGCTTCTTTTTTTTAACCAACTCTGTTTCAAAAAGAAACAAGTGACATTGAGTCTCATCTATTTTTATCCGTTTCTAAGAAACGAATAGCCAACTCTACCTAATGACGGGCGGTTTTATAAGCATAAAGCAAAATCAAAATAAAAGGAGAATAATGGGCAATTTGCTATTTCATTCAAGCACGAACGCGTACAACATCAGTAAGCCTGTATGTATGTACATATGTATGTACATACTTAATCATAAATGTAATCCCATACCGGACACACCCACCTACATACTTACTTAATTATTCAGCCGTGATTCGCACATAATAACATTATTTGTCAAAGTAATCCATCACTAACAGGCAACTAATACAATTTCTTCATAGCCAATGCGATTACATACATACATACATACATATGTGGGGAACAACTTTTTGCATTGTGCATACAAAATAGTTGAACGCTTTTGTATAAGCACATACAAATGTACATAAGTATGTAAGTATTTGCACATATGTATGTATGTATATAGTAAGCATGTAGCAATGGATATAGACATCTGTAAGCATTTTCCATGACTGGGCATTTTTCACCGCAGCCGAGTACACTTAACTAAGCACTTAGGCAAATATGTCTGCAGCAAGTGCAAAAATGTTGCATTGCATTGTATGTACGAGCATGATAAGTAGTACTAGATGCAATATGGAGAGACACGTATGCACCAACGATGTTGTGAACAATTTCTATTTTTGAATACAAGTACATATGTACATTAAGGCGGGTCAATTTGTATGGAAGACTTTTTCGACTATGCGCGTATGACACAGAAGGATTCTACGCGTTATTCTAAGCAAATTTGCCACAAGTCTTAAATAAATTTTGAGTTTGCCGGATTGCGAAAATAGGTTTTTTTAGCATTTTGCTGTCGTGTCGTAAAGAAGTGCTCAAATTCTGAATAAAAACGTGCCAGAAGGGGTTTTTGGTATGAGGAATCTATTTCTGCACTTATCTTTTTCTTAAAACTTCCACCAGAGGGCGGAACAGTTAACATTTTCACAGTTTCTTTGAAACCTATTTTTGCAATTTGGCAAACTCCAAATTTGTTTTAGACCAATGGTTTCTTCGGCAAATTTGCTTAGAATTACACATAAAATCCTTCGATCCTATACGCGCATAGTTAAAAAAAAAATTGGCCTGCCCTAATGTACATACATATGTGCACAAACCCAAGTAAGTGAGTGTCTGGAAATGCATAAGCATCTGGTTGCGATATATTTGATTACGTTTCAAAAGTTTTTAGCGAGTAAACAGATCCATATTGAGAATATATACAGACATAGAGACATATGTAGGAGCATATGTACGTATGTATGTATCTATATAGTATGAAAATACATAAGCACTTATTTATGTAAAGAATAAAAAGTTGCGAAATGCTTGTGTCACAGCTAGCAAATTGACAACCCGGCCACCATCACTATCACTGCACCAAATCCATGTTGTGGACACTTAACAAATTACCTTGCAATGAGTGAATAAGAAAATTCACGAACGCTGGCCGCGCCCCCACCACCCACTTAGCTGCTGTTAAGCTAGCGCATAGCATTTTCTGATTTGTTTCCCCAACAGCTTTGTGGTTATAAAATGAAATTAACTTTGAAATATGTTTG